TGTGGAGGATGATGTAGACTCATTGCTTCCTGGGGGTTCCCCAGAGTGTCACTTTGACCGCTTAGCTAGCCTCATCGGACACTTCTTCTTGGTAAAATTCCAGCCTCGAGCGCTGAGGCAGGTAAGATTCCAATTCTTTAGGCTATACAGGATTCGGGTTGGAAGCTGTTGCTGTTTCCTGTGGCTGCTGGTAGTGAGACTTGCGGGTGGGTCCGCAACAGGGACACTACGAGGTTGAGGGAGGTGGCTTTTGGCCACACGAGTAAAGGCAAGGGATAAAACTGTTGAACTTATTTGAACTGTGATGCATGCACTGTATTTACACTGAAATGTTATTGTCTTAATTGTCTGTCACACAGATCCCTGTGTTTACTTCTATCTTACTCACTGTACTATTTACACTTTCCCCTCCTATTTCTCTTTCTCTGTTGAGAGAAGTGATTGGTCACACACTTCTCGCCACGCTCCAATCCGCGGCTACCACGGGTAGGCGGAATCAGTGACTAGTCTACGTTTTGGGAAGACGTACTTAAAGAGCTTGCTCTTAAAGTAGCAGTCGAGCACGGTAGACGTTCTGTTCCTTTCTCTCTCTATATCTGGGACGCCTTGTATAGGGAGGATGGGACAGAAGTTAGATAAACCCAGTAAGGGTTGGTTAGCATGTGATCTAGTGGAAGACAGAGAAGGAGTAGAGATGGTTAAGAAAGTGAGGAAGATTGCTAAAGTATGTGGAATTACCGTACCTCCGTGCGGCAGATTGTAGCCAGAGAGCTGGCGTAAGTTACTGATAGAGAAGAAAGGGGAAGCTGTCGGACCACGATTTGGTTTGTACAGCAGAAGCCTGGTACCGAGTAGCAAGAGCTATTCAGCAAAAGGGATAGGTTGAGGAAGAAATTGATCACAAAGGTTTAAGATTGTTTGTGTATTATAATAATTGTGTTACTGGATGCTGATGGATCCCTATTCCCCCCCCCCATCAGTCCTACAGATCTCATCACCATCATCCTCTCTCTGCAGCTCCCTGCACCTCCAGTCCGTTTCTCCCGTCAAAGATTTCTGATTTCCAAACGTATAAGTCTCTGTTCCTCTGTCTTGTTACTTTCCAGCACTCACATGGTTAATCTTCATGCCTGCAGCTTCACTCCCTTTTTTGCACTGTCTAACTTTCTCCCCCCCCTCTCCTCCCCGCTTGCCTGCATTTCTACTGATAAGAGTTAGAGACAGGATTTTTGCTGGACAATATTCTAATTCAAAGGTTATGGTGTTATAATTGTGTAATAATTTTATTATTGTTGCCGTATATATATATATATATATATATATATATAAATTGTGTTTTGTGATAAAGTAGTGAGGATTGTGGGGGAGACACAAGAATGTTGCTCAGTGTTGATTTACGGAGGTAAGTGAATCTGATACAAGAATAGAGGAATATTTGGACGTGTTAAGTGTAAAGGCAAGCGTGATTTGTTGCAAAACTATGCAATGAGGATGATAAGGGAAATTGGTTGAATTCCGTGAGTTTATTTTGCATCATTTTATTATTTTAAAGTTATTTTAAAGTACATGTTTCTATGGACAGCTGTATGGGCTGTTAAATGCATAATGTTTTCAACTGTCTTATTTAACCTGCCAGGTCTGTTCGTAGTTTAGTATTTCATTTTGCAGACTGGAATGTTGCTTCTCTGACTTATTTTAATAGTTATAATATAGTGTATTGTTGAAAGTGCATCAGCCACCACCCTAAAGATGGCGCCTAGTACAGAAGGAGGTTGACCCTGCCAGTCCCGTGACCTATCTACAGTCACGGTTGCTTCTAAAGTGACGTCACTTCCGCCCTTACCATGCCCACACCTCCTGTCTTCCTTTCCCACACATATCATGGACGTCACCCCTCTCACTTCCTCCCTTGCTGTCATTTCCTTCCCCGCCCCTGTCATGGCTGCCTCCATCATGAGGCCTACCCCTATTATGCTCGTCCTATTTAGAGTCATGTTGTTTTCCTTACACTCTACATATTATGAACAGAAACATTATAATTACTAAAACAATCATGCCATTTGTTTCCCTGTATCAGAAATTTGTCCGTGATAAAAAAAAAAAAAGAAGGTTGCTAAAATGTAATTTGCAACTGTGGTGTGACCTACAAATGAGATCTGTTGGACACGAATATAAGAGCATAACAGCTGATTATCCAGATTAATCTTGCAACAAGGGAAATAGCCAAATAATGCAAGTTATTTTAAACATTGTATCTTTGCTTAATCGAATCTTGCTAGTTACAGATCGTATGTTTACAGTAACATCCTTTACGTTAAATGATGGTCTAGCATTAGAAGGATTAGTGACATGTTTTATTAACCCAGCCACTACTGGTTGTTTATTTTAGTTACAGGGTGGTATAATTGTTATAGTCTAATTAATATAAATGATAGTACCGCAATAGTTAATGTTTTATCCAAAGACATTTAGGAACTTTACTTCACTTACTATTAACCATTATTTATAATGATAGACATGTTCAGACTGCAAAAAGCTATGGCTAATGACATAGAAAGGGGTTTGAGTCAGTAACACAGCCCATACGGAGGAGAGCAAACCCGCTGATGCTTAATGCCCCTGCCATGGCAGTGTCTACAGGGAACAAGGGGGGCCACTAGCCACTGTAACTTTACCTATTGAAGGTCACCCTACTGCTTTCCTGGTTAACACAGGTGCAGCCCGCAGTGTTCTTAGAGAACAAGACCTGCCTGACTCATCGTTCCTGCCTGACACCGATGTCTCTTGTGTTGGTGCTGATGTCCTATCCCGCCTCCAAGCATCCATCACCCTCACTGCAGACGGCCAGGTTCAATTAAATACACCTTTGTCACGAAAAGACACTACAGTTCTTTGTTCCCTTCCCATTTTACTGTGGAGATGATCTACCCACAACAAAACAATGCTCAATTAATCTTCTTTACTATCTAGCAGAACAAGGATGTGAAGCTTCACGTCTCAAGCTGCAATTCTGCCAACCTACTGTTATCTTCCTTGGCCATTGTCTGTCTCAGGGAACCAGACATCTCACTCGTGACCGAGTTAGAGCAGTACTGGACATTCCACCTCCAAGGACCTCAAAGTCACTACACGCCTTCCTAGGCCTCATTTCCTATTGCCGAGCATGGATCCCAGAAGCCTCACTCCTTATGCAACCTCTCTATGATGCTCTCAAGTCAGACCCATTTTGCTTGTCCACAGAAGCCCTTGACAATTTCTGTACTCTTAAACGTGCTATTGCTTCTGCTCCTGCTCTTGGCCTACCAGACTATACCAAACCCTTCAAATTGTTTGTTTCTGAAAGACAAGGCCATGCAACAGGAGTACTCACTCAGGCCCATGGTCCTGGAGGCCGCCAAAGGCCTATTGGATTTTTCTCCTGCCAACTGGATATTGTGGCCAGAGGACGTCCCACTTGCCTTCGGGCCGTCTGTGCTGCCAAAGAGCTCATTGAAAGAACTGGAGATCTTGTCCTTGGCCACCCCCTGGTTGTCTTGGCCCCTCATGACATTTCTGCCATAGTCAACCAGGTCCAACTTAAGCATGTTACTCCTGCTAGGCATCTTCGCCTTCAATGTCATCTTTTGTTGCCTGACCACATTACCCTTCAAAGATGTCAAGTTCTCAATCCGTCCACTCTTCTGCCACTCCCTGAGGGGAGTGTATACTACGGATTCATCATGGACGAAACTTATGTTTTTCTTCTCACTGGCACCATCAAGAAGGAAATGCATCCCAACCTATCCTTTCATGATGGACAAGCACTCCTTCATGACGGAGCAGGATATGCCTTCTGTACCATGTGGTACAAACCAAACATCACTCCTGAACCCTGCTATGAAGATGAACTCTATCATCTGGTCGAAGTAAAACTCACTGCACAAGACTTCTACTGTGATTCTGAAGGCAACAGTATGGTCTTGATTCATCTACCTCCGGAACTCAAGCATTTGTACCGTCATTGGGACACTGCCATTCCACATGTCCCTGTGACCAAGTTGAAAACAATATCATGGAATGATCTTGGGCCTATGGCAAAAGCATGGGCCACTATGGACGAATCACAGCTACAGGAAAATGGTGTTGTCAAATATCCAACAACTGACCACCTAAAAGCATGGCCGCGTCATTTCCTGGAGAATGAGTTCCAAGATTTAACCATAGTGAATGACTACGACCCAGATACACCTCATGACTGTTTTGAACAGATGAAAATGGAAACAACACATCTACCAACTGTGCATGAAGACCCATTGGTAGATCCCGATCTCACCCTGTTTGTGGACGGCTCAAGATATGCTGATGAAGAAGGAAGATACCATACAGGATATGCCGTAACCACAACAGATGAAATTGTCAAATCATCATCTTTACCATCAACTATGTCTGCACAAGAAGCTGAATTGCAAGCCCTGACTTCAGCATGCAAGATCTCTGAAGGAAAGCGCGCCAATATCTACACGGATTCAAGATATGCACTGGGCGTGGCTCACGACTTCGGATTAATTTGGAAAACAAGAGGATTTCTTACTACCGCCGGTACACCAATCAAGCACGGTTCCGCAATCAAGGAGCTGATGGACGCCCTTCTACTCCCAGAAGAAGTGGCTATTTTGAAGATAAAAGCACATGGGAAGTTGGACTCAGATGAAGCAAAGGGCAACCATCTAGCTGATCAGGCTGCAAAACAAGCTGCAAAAGAACCACAGGAAGTGGAAAGAAGAGTGTCCGGAAATGAAGAAACTCCCATATTTACTCTGCAGACTCTTCCAACTGACCTAAAAATCCTGCGGGAACAACAGGCTACAGTTGCCCCTGAAGAAATACAGAAGTGGAAACAGAAAGGGGCAGTTCTGAAGGATGGAGTGTACTCCAACAACCTCAAGTTCTGCCTCCCTAAGAATTTGTACCCAGCAGTCGTACAATGGGCACACGGACCTGCACATTTATCAAAGGATCTAATGAATGCTCTTGTACAAAAATACTACCTCACTGTCCCCATATGAGATTCTATTTGGGACTGCACCTAGGCTAGGTTGCTATTTTCCCCAACAACTACAACTTCAAACTGATGTCTTAGTAGATTATGTAACTGAACTCGCAAATGCTTTAAACAAAATCCATGCCCAAGTTTTCTCTTCAATTCCAGATCCTGATTCTGACACAGGCAACCACAGTCTGCTCCCCGGTGACTGGGTTCTGGTCAAGAAATTTGTGCGAAAACACACCCTGGAACCAAGATTTGACGGACCGTTCCAAGTTCTCCTGATCTCCCCTACCTCTGTCAAATTGGCCGGAAGGCCTAACTGGATCCACGCTTCCCATTGCAAGAAGACACCTGCCCCAGAGGAAGCTAACTCTATGCAACCATGTGCCTCTGGTACATTATCTCCTTAGTTGGCCTCCTTAAAGCCCAGCAGGTGGCCATCACCAAAGATGCTAGTGGGTACACTTTCTGGTATAATTCATCATGTACCCACGTGGCTACATTCACCTTTGATTACTGTGATATTGTAGAATGCCCATTCTCTAAGTCACAGATTCAAGCCATTTATAAAGATATCCCACAAGCAAAAGACCCTTACGTTTGTGTAGTAGATGAACAATGGGGTTATGACTGTAACTACTGGGGGGCTGCGGGATGGAATACTGGGCCTGCCTGGGGTTATAAACCCAAAAGTGCTTTATCTAAGATAGACAATCAGGGTAGATCCCTCCTTCAAAGAATGACTTTAAGAAAGCCTGGAGGAAGTACCCCTATGAAATTAATGTTAAATATTGAACATCCTGGCCCCGAGGATGCAGACCGATATGTAATGGGAATGTATTGGACGAAAGGTTCCTACAACAAATTAGGTCATTTCTACCTCAGAGATATGTACCACTCTCCAGAGTGGCAAGGGGCTGATCATATGGCCCCAAATCCGCTAAAACCACATATCCAGTCCTTTACAGATATGATGGCCATCGCTAACCCCACTTTTGAAGATACCATGGCCGCTGAAACTGGATTCAATGACATTAATTTGTGGTTAGAATGGATGAGGTATAATGCCAACAAACATAATAAAACAGCATGTTATGTATGTGGCGGTGCCCGACCCCACCTTGGCACCGTCCCCCTAATTCTCCCTTTAGAGATAGAAGATTGCTTCTTAAGCCTTTTTGCCTACCAATATGACTTTAATAGGTCCCTCTGCATGGCATGGACGGCAGAGTACCCTCTCTTAGTTGAAAATGTTAAGCCACCAGATGGAATCACAGTCTATAGAGGTAATTACACTTGTTATGCCATGTATGACGGGATTGGTAAATTCATGGGTAATTTTTCTAAAGGTTATTGCGCCACTTACAGAACTGTTCCTATACGCCTGTTGCAACACCATACCAGGTCATTGGGGGATATTTACTGGTTATGTGGGGATCTACAGTTAAGATCTAGGCTGGAAACTGAGTGGTGGGGTGAGTGTGCCCTGGCCAAAGTTATCATGCCCATTCATATTATCTCTGATAATCATCATGACACATACGACCCTCCACATACATCAGCCAGAGTAAGGCGCGAAACCCCAGTAAAAGGCAGTTTTGACCCCCACATTTACATCAATGCCATTGGGGTGCCTAGGGGGGTACCTAATGAATTTAAAGCTAGAGATGAAGTAGCTGCAGGTTTTGAATCACTTTTTACCATAGTCACTGCCAACAAAAACCTTAATTGGATTAATTATATCTATTACAACCAACAGCGCTTCGTGAACTACACCAGGGATGCCCTCCAGGGCTTGGCCGAGCAATTACAGGCCACATCCCAAATGACCTTCCAGAACAGACTGGCCTTAGACATGATCTTAGCCGAAAAAAAGGGGGGTCTGTAAAATACTTCCCGACACTATGACTTGTTGCACTTATATCCCAGAAAACACAGGTCCTAATGGTAAAGTCACTCTGGCCATAGCTAAATTAAATAGACTCTCAGAAGAGTTAAAGAGAAACTCTGGAGTTACTGATCCCTGGGAAAAATGGTTTGGTTGGATGACTGGTTGGCAGAGAGCTTTAGTCCAGATTGGTATTGCCTTACTAATTTTTCTTTTTATTCTCGCTCTTCTCATTTGTTGTGTCCTCCCATGCCTAAGGAAATTCCTGCAGAAAACCGTAGACCAAGCAACACCAACCTTCACTCATCTGACAATCGATGATCAAGATCTCACATCACCCTGTATTCCGCTACAAACTCTCCCTTATACTGATGAAGTGCAGAAAGTCTAGGAAGGGACAGTACAGGGACAGCGTCCGTCTTTATGGGTAGACTGCCGTACGGAGAAGTAGTGGATAAGCCACTATGGGTTACCAGCGGAGTGAAGAGTGTTCCTGAACCGTACTGACGGATGTGCTGCAGCCTGTTAGGGTCAAGAGAGGGATAGACTTGCACTTTGCATTAACACTAAGTCAGCGGTCATGGGGTTTCTGTGTCTTTGGGCTAACACATCTTCTGATACTAACAAATAAAGTTTTGTCTTTTAGCAAATAACATTTTAGGGGGGACTGTTGTAGAATTATTAGGCCTCTATAAATCTGTAAGGCCCCTTTAAATCCTCTTGCTATACCTCTAAGAGGCCCCCATAGTTTTACAAGAAAGCTTTGTCTATAGAACATAGAATTTGCATGCCAGCAAGAAATAGCTTTGATAAAATGTGTATTTACTAAAAGCCTTGAAACCTAACCTTGAGAAACTAACAAGTGCCAGCTACGCTCTAAATGGATAGCTGCCAAAAGGCCCCTCCCGTCGAGTGAGCTCCTCATGTTAGCAAAATGGCGCTAAAACCTGGAGGAGAAAAGCATGACGTGGATAGTGACCTAAGAATGGGGAGGGCATTTTACTAACATCTTAGCACCTAAGCCAATTAACAATGTCTATTTGTCTATATCTTGATTTTCTTCAATGATGTAATAATGCCTTTAAAAGGGTCTGCGCACCCATTTTCTGTCAGAAGCCATTAAACTTCTCCGAAGTTCTTTCATTACCCTGAACTTTGTGTCTCAGTGTGAATTTACTTCTGCGTGCACGCAACTTTATTATCTTTCATTTGGACAGGAACAGATAGTCATTCAAACTAATTGGTTTGCAGTAAATTATCTACTACATTGCTAAATGTTTGTAGCCTATTGCTAACTGCTCCCACACTGATACCAATGACTCACATTAGTGACTTGCTGGGGCAGTCCCATAGTAAGATATCAAACCATTTCAGAATGATTTACCAACTTAACTGGATCTCACTACATTCCTATCGCTACATCCTACAATATTATATACTTTGATTTCATTTTTCATTTTTGTTTTTCACTATTTGTGTTTCACTTTCATCTACACACCTCATACCACTAACATGATTTCAAATATAACCATACTGTTATTTTTAATAACCCTTTTCTCAATCCATTTTTTTTCACATCACTACCACCATAAGCACACACCTCAAACTGGAAAACAAATTTTCATACACCATGGCCTGCTCTGTTGCTGTATCTTATCTGGTCAGTGCTGGTGGAGAGTTATAAAAAAATAGCCCTCCTACCCCCACCTCAGTCTGAACTCCTACAAGTTTGGAATTTGCATGCCCCGCTGCGTAATGTAAAAGTAAAAGAGCACATTTGAACTGGATCACAGCTGACCTCATCCAAATGTGTCAGTTTCAGGATTCATTGTGGTTAAAGCGTACTGGCTCTATGAACGATCACTGTGCATATAGACAATGGAGAAATATATGCACAAAACAAGCAAAATTAGCCAAGGCCCAATATTTCTATATTCAATATTTTTAACAATAACATCTCAAACCCTAGAAACTTTTAGAAAGTCATAAATAAATTACAAACTCCCCCAATCCACTCCCAACCCTCCACTGTCAAAGTGTATAACCAAACCCTGCAACTTCCCTTAGCAAATGCCTTTAGCAATTATTTTGTCAGATGCTCCACTGCCCTGATTGCCAAGCTAATAAATGACACACATGCTGAAATCACAAATGTGGATCAGGCCCCACTAAATTTGCAAAGACCCAATATAGACAAATTCAGTTTTAGACCTGTACCTATTAGTGTCGTGAAGAAACACCTTAATAATCTAAAATTTAAAAACCAGTCTGGACCTGATCAAATCCCAGCAATGCTGTTGAAGCTCAGTGCGCCGGCAATTGCTAAACCTGTCGCAACCCTAATTAACGAATCCTTGGTGTCTGGATACATACTCAAACTTTGGAAGACTGCGAGAGTGGTACTTATCCATAAAAATGGTGACACTACTTTGGTTTCTAATAGAGATGAGCGGACACCTGGATGTTCGGGTTCGCCGGGTTGGCCGAACTTCGGCAAAAAGTTTCGAGTTCGGACTTCGAACTTGACCCCGAACCTGAACCCCATTGAAGTCAATGAGGACCCAAACTTTTGGGCACTAAAATGGCTCTAAAAAAGTCCTGGAAAGGGCAAGAGGTCTGCAAAAGGAAGTAAAATGGGGGTAAGAGTAGGACAAGTGCCCTGCAAGCAATTGGGGTAGCCCCTAAAATATTGGGGCATATAAAAAACAAAAAACAAAGAATAAGTGCACTTGAGTATAACAATGGCTGGGTGAGGCCGGTATAAATGTCTATTCTGCAAGGTACAGACAAGTCTGGTGGGATCCATGCCTGGTTCATTTTAATAAACGTGAGCTTGTCCACGTTGGCTGTGGACAGATGGCTGCGCTTGTCTGTGATAACACCCCCTGCCGTGCTAAACACACGTTCAGACAATACACTGGCTGCAGGGCAGGCCAGCACCTCCAAGCTCAGGCCATGTGCCCAATTTGGAGACCCAGAAGTTGAATGGGGCAGACCCATCAGTCAGTACATGTAGGCGTGTGCACACGTACTGTTCCACCATGTTTCTGAAATGCTGCCTCCTGCTAAGACATGCCATATCAGCTGGTGGTGCTGGTTGATGTGGCATGCTGACAAAGCTTTTCCACATTTCGGCCATGCTAACCCTGCCTTCTGAGGTGCTGGTGGTGCCCCAGCTGCATTGGCGACCTCTTCCTCCTCCTCTGCCTTCGCCTTGTGCTTCCACTGAGCCCCCGGTGTCAGTTGGGAATGCCCTCAGTAGCGCGTCTACCAGCATGCGCTTGTAGTCGCGCATCTTCCGATCACGTTCCAGTGAGGGAATTAAGGATGGCACATTGTCCTTGTAATGGGGATCTAGCAGGGTGGCCACCCAGTAATCAGCACAAGTTAGAATGTGGGCAACTAGGCAGTCGTTGCGCAGGCACTGCAGCA